TTCTACTTTTCCTTCCGCATGGTGGGAGCTATGTCATTTATTATTATGTTCAGTTTGTACTCTTAACAGCTCTTGTACCTATTTAGACTAGATCCTTGGGGGTGTTGATTACTTTACAAATCTTAACCAAAATTGTGTTAAAAGTTCTTATTTATAAAATGGAAAAAGGTCAAAATTGCCCCTGAACTATGCAAAATAGGCCACTTTTACCCTCCGTTATATTTTGGGATAAAAAATACCCTCGCCGTCATCCCAGGAGACCACAAATACCCTCAAGAGTTAACACCCCAAATTTTTAGTGACATGGCAAGCCACATGGGACTAATCCCTCCACCTAAGCGTTGCCGACTAAGATTCACTACAAAAGAACTTGACCTTTAGTGGCGACAAAGTCGCCACAATCTCAAAATATTACCACTAAAGGTTATGAGTGATTTTTAGTGGCGACTAAGGCTCCAACAACCATTCGCTAGTAAAACCTATTTTGTCAACAAAAAAATATGATAATTAATTTTTGATTGCAACGTAATTTTCTAAAATAAATAACTTGCAATATCAATATTAAAAACATCCAATATTATTACGAAAAATCATCAATATTACTTCTCGATTCAAATCTCCAACTATATAATGCATCATTGTACATTTTATACATTTACATATGACATAAAAATAAAACATACAGTGTCTTCAAACTCCTACATAATCGATATCATTTTTGGTTTTTTTAAAAATAATGAAGAAAAAACACAAAATTAGAATTTAATGTTAAAAACGTTTAGTGACGATTTTCTGGGCTTTTGTGGCAACTGTTGTCGCCGCTAAAGGTCTTGTTCTTTTGGAGTGAATCCTAGTTGGCAATGTTTAGGTGGAAGAATTAGTCCCACGTGGCTTGCCACGCCAATAAAAATTTGGGGTGTTAACTCTTGAGGGTATTTGTGGTCTCTTAGGATAACAACAAGGTCATTTTTTATCCCAAAATGTAACGAAGGGTATAAGTGGTCTATTTCACATAGTTTAGGGGTAATTTTGACCCTTTTCCATTTATAAAATTCTGTTAGTATATTTATTTCCATTTTATCTAATTTTCCGCATGTTGTAACTATTGTGATAAGAGGCTTCTCCTACTTAGGTGGTAGTATGTAGGTGTCCGCACGGCCCGGTGGGTTGGGTCGTGACACCTATATCCCGACATGATATAGAATAGTTGTGGCAGTGTGGACATGACGATGTATCATCACGTAGCTCATAGAGAATCTCTCAATATAGTTAAAGTGTATTTTTCATATAACAGTTATTATGTGGAGTCAGAGATGGGTAAGTATTTTTGTAAAGTTAAATGATTTAATTCCTTTAATTCTTTACATTCACTTGAGTTCATGTTGCATCTAGTGCAGTCTTTTCATTTAGTTATTTCGCCTCGACTATATTACATACTCGTGCATTCAATGTACTAATGTCATTCGACCTGCATCTTTTATGGTGCAGATACATGTGTTTAGGATCATCAACACGCATTTCATTGAGATCACTTTGCGCTTCAGATAGCTTTGGTGAGCCTTCTTGCTTTCCGGAGGATTTCACATTTATTTTCCTATTATTGTTGAGTTGTCGTGGGTCTTGTCCTAACATCTATCCTAGTATTCGAGGCTTTATAGATTTAGTTGAGGATTCTCTCAATATTTTCCTTAAATATGTTTTGTAAACTATTATGATTATTGAAATGGGTATTTTCAAACATTCCAGTTGAGTTATGTTAAGCTAAATTGTGTTTCTAAGTCTTTTATCACTTGAGTATTCGTCCTCTAAGTAGTCAGTCAGGCCAAAGGTTCGCTTGAGGATAAAAAATGGTTTCTTGAGTGTCGGCCATGTCCGGGGTGCAGGCTCGGGGCGTGACACTCGTTATGGGAACTATGAATTTCTTGTGATGTCTTTCATTTTGACTAACACCCCTACAATGTTCATGGAGTTGATGAATGGAGTGTTCCGACTTTATCTAGATTCTTTAGTGATAGTCTTCATTGATGACATCTTGGTGTACTCCATGACTGAGGAATATCATGATTGACATTTGAGTATTGTGCTCCAAAGATCGAGGGAGGAGAAATTGTATGTCAAGTTCTCGAAGTGCGATTTTTGACTTGATTCTATTGCATTTTAAGGACACGTGGTATCTAAGAGGGTGTTCAGGTGGATCCAACCAAGATTGAGGCAATTAGAGGTTAGACCAGCCTACTTCAGTTACTAAGATTCAGAGTTTTGTGGGACTTGCAGGCTATTAGAGATGATTTATCCAGACATTCTCGACTATTGCATCTCTTTTGAACAAATTTAATCGACAGAGTGTGAGCTTTCTATGTTTTGATAAGTGTGAGGAGAGATTTCAAAGCTCAAAACCTTGTTGACTTCGACTCTTTTGTTGACCTTACCCAAAGAGGGTGTAGAATTTACCGTATACAGTGAGACTTCTAGAATTGGGTTAGGTGGTATTCTAATGTAGAATAGGAAGGTGATCGTCTATGCTTATAGACAGTTGAAGACCCATGAGAAGAACTACCATACTCATGACTTGGAGTTATAATTCGTAGTCTTTATGCCTATGTTATGGCGACATTATTTGTATAGGGTACATTGTGAGGTCTTCATTGACCATCGGAGTCTTCAGTACATCTTCAGTCAGAGGGATCTTAACTTGAGGCAGTACAGATGACTTGAACTACTAAAGGACTATGAAATCACCATCTTGTATTATTTGAGGAAGGCCAATATGGTGGTCGATGCATTGAATAGGAAGATTTCTAGTATGAGGAGTTACCACTCTCAGTGATGAGGAGAGACCATTAGCTAGAGATGTTCAGAGGTTAGCCAGTAGCCTTTTCCATTTATAGATTTTTGAGAAGAGTGGTAATTTAATTGTTTTTATAGAGCCTCATTCTTTCTTAGTTGAAAAGATCTGTGAGCACTAGTTTGATGATGAAAAGTTGTGTCTCATTCAAGTCAAAGTGATGAGAGGGGGATTCAAGGAGGTTGTCCTTGATTCTGATGGTGTCTTGAGGATAGGAGGTAGTATTTGTATGCCCAAGGTGGGTGAGTTGATTAGATTGATTCTTGATGAAGCCCATTGTTCTCGATATTCCACCCATCCGGGAGAGGAAAAGATGTATCATGATCTAAGTCAGCATAAGTGGTGGCATGGCATGAAGAGGTATATTGAAGATTTTGTTTCTAGGTGCTTGACTTGTCAACAGGTCAAGTGTGAGCACCAACTGCCCGAAGGTATATCTCAGAGGATGTTTATTCCTACTTGGAAGTGGGAACGGATAACTATGGATTTCGTTATAGGTTCACCTACCATAGTGGGTGGTTATGACTCCATTTCGGTTACTGTTGACAGACTGACCAAATCTTCCCATTTTATCCCAGTTCGTATGAAGTATATAGAGGAGAAGTTAGCCGAGCTTTACATCAATCAATTATGCAACTACATTAGGCCTCAGTTTCTTTATCTCTAATTAAGGTTTATTATTCACACCCCATTTATGGAAGACCTCCCATCATGGTTTGGGTACTCGGTTAGATATGTGTACATCGTTTTCACCCTTAGACAGATGGTCAGTCCAAGCGGATGATTCAAGTGTTGAAGGACATGCTCCGAACTTATGTGATTAATTTTGGTGCTAGATAAGATCAGTATTTACCCTTAGAGTTTGCCTACAACAACAGTTATCACTTCAGTATTCAAATGGCCCCATTTAAGGCATTATATGGTAGACATTGTAGATCTCCGATCGGTTGGTTTGATTCATCTGAGATAGACTCTTTAGATACAGACTTTCTTATAGATGTTATAGAGCAAGTTTGTATGATTTAAGGTAGATTGAGGACAACTTAGAGTCGACATAGGAGTTATATAGATCGGATAGTTCGAGCCTAGTGTTTATGGAGGTGATCATGTTTGGCTTTGAGTGTCAACCATGAAGGGTATGATGAGGTTTGGAAAAAAAGGGCGAGCTTAGCCTTAAATTCATCAGACCTTTTGAGATTTTGAGCCGAGTGAGAGAGGTGGACTATAAATTAGCCTTGATACCTAGCTTTCCAGTTGTGAATCATGTGTTCCATGTCTCCATGCTTCCGAAGTATGTGTCAAATGAGTCTCATGTGCTTTCTCTTGATTCAATTGTGTTAGGTCCTGACTTTCTTTTGAGGAGGAGCCTATATCTATCATGGATAGGCAGGTATGAAAGCTTAGGACTAAGGATATTGATTCACTAAAGATGTAGTGGAAGCACTGTTACCTTGGTGATACGACTTGGGAGACAGAGTCCGACATGCGTGGTAGGTATCCTCATCTTTTCAAGGCTCCAGGTACTTTGTTTTATCCTTATGTTCGAGGATGTACATAGTGGTAGATAATGTTATGACCCGGTTGCTCAATTTTGGAAATATTCATAAAATTACCTTTTTCCCTCTCGATATTGTCCCCGAGTCATTTTTTTGAATGAGTTTTGAAATTGGTTTCAAGTTTTGAGTTAAAAGTTGTGAATTTGAGAATTTGAAAGGCTGAAGTTGTTAAAAAGTGGTTTTCAGTGTCTTTTAGAGTTTTGAGTGTCGGATGGAATTCCCTCGATTTCATCCATCCCCGAATATGGAAATTGGTCCAAGAGAGTTTTTAGATTCTGAGTCTTTTTGAAGATTTGAGGTCCTAAGTTAAAAATTTGTTGAAAAGTTTTGCTCTGGGTTGACTTTGGTCAACATTCAGGGTTTGGATGCTCGTATCGAAATTTCGTGAGTTCCATTGTATTAAGCGTATGAATTTTGGCCTAAGAGAAATCTTGGTTGAATTTTTATAGGTTCTGAGCTTGATTTGGCATTTTTAGGCTATATTCATTTGTTGTGACTTTTATGAGTTTCAGGTTAAGGAAACCTCGAATTGGTGTTTTGATGGTTCCATTGAGTCCAAAATGTTGATTTTAGTCAATTTACATATATGGTTTGTGTATATGGGATTCCGAGTGAATCTCGAAGGTCCAATTAGAGACTTGGAGATTGCTAATTTTTTTTGTTTCTATTATTGGTGTCAATTCTCCGCATTTGAGGAGCTTGTGACCGCGTTTGCTGAGAGGAATTATGGGGACCCCTACATTTGTGGAGGCTCGACAACGTTCATGGAGGTTCAAGATGTTGACCTTCGCGTTCGCAATAGCCTTGTCACATTTGTGGAGTCTCGGTTCATTAAATCTTGCATTCGCGGATAGGGGTACGCGTTTGTGGGTAGGGGTCCTTGAAAAAATATTTTTTAAAATCGGGGTTCCAACCCCATTTCTCCATTTTTTAGTGTTGGAGCTTTAGGAGGTGATTTGAACAAGGATTTTTAGAAGAAATATTTGGGTAACGATTCCTAATCTTAAATGTCCATTTACCCATTATTATTTATGAATTTAAATGTTCAAGTCAAGATTTTTGGAATGATAATTTGGGGTTTCATCAAGAACCAAAGAACTTGGTAAAATGGTGATTTTGAGTTGTATTTAAATCCGTTTTTTAAGTGGCTTTCACCAATGAGTTCCAAATGCCTTGGGTAGCATTTTCAAGTAAAGATTTTTGGATTCAAACCTCATTTTTTCAAATTGGATTTTCGAGTTGTTTTGACCCATTTTTTAAAGTGTTTGATTTTGATGTTGTTATTTCCGCAATGTTATTGTGATTACTTGATTGAATTTGATTGTGTATCTTTGGACATTGTTCGGAAAGAGAAGACTCGAGTCTTGGATTGACTAATGATTGAAATTGAGGCAAATGATCTCCTAAACCTTGTTAAATTAGTAAAATCGTGTATTTTCCCTTTATTTGTATGTGTATGGAGTAATCAAACGAGGTGATGGGTTTAATTATTCCACTTGATTGATATTAATGAATTAAAAGGCAATGTGTTGATCATAATACTTTGTGAATTTGCCTTGTTGTGAACCCTAATGTGTTGATTGATGAAATGCTTTGATGACATTATTGTGGCCTCGATTTACTTGAGTTATTGTCTCTTTCTTTTGGTGTGAAATTAATTATTTGATTTGATTTTTGTGTACCATGATGAGATATGTGATGGTTATCGATGTCGAGGTCATTTCTGGAAAGAGTTACTGATGCAGAGGTCATTTTCGATGAGTGCTATTGATGCCAAGGTAATTTTTGGCAAGTGTTATTGATGTCAAGGTCATTTACGGTGAGTTGTATTGATGTCGAGGTCATAACCAGTGAGTTCATGAACTATGGGTGATTTCTTGAGTTCCGATTGATATTGTGCATGATAAATCTTCCAATTTTGTGTTGATTGTACTTGTGTTTTGGTGAGCTTGACACTTTTGATTATCATACTTGATATTTGAAGATTGTTGAACTGTTGTTGTTAAACCTTGTGAACGATGTATTGTGAAACTGTTGGATTAGGCCGATTTCCATGCAGGTTGTATGTAACACCCCAAAAATTTCTAATTTAAGACCCGAACCATTCTTGAATTGTGTATAAGGTCGTACCGAGTGCTCCTTAACTGTTCTTAGATTCTAAGGTCAATTCATTAGTGTTGGAATGATTCTCGATATCAATTAAGGTCACCAGAATCCCCTAGCACAAAGTTGAGTTGAAAGCTTCCTTATCGATTAACTTCAAATAGTCATATCTCTCAGAACATAAAGAATTAGGTGGCCCATGACCTATCAAATTAAACGTCTTTGAGTCCTAAGTCTGCTTAATTTCGAGTTCGGAGTAAAAAGATATGCCTATTTTAGTGAAGCATCTTTTTGTAAGGCACCTCAACCGTTTTTAGAGGGGTAGTTTGGTCTTTTCCCACTCCTTCTAAGCCTAAGACACATTTTTTCTTCACCTAATTAAGGGTATAATCAGTGTTAAAACATCTTTTCACGTTCTGTAACACTTAGAATAATTAAAGCAAGGTTTCAAGAGGAGAAAAAACTAGGGTTCAAGCATTTTTCAAGTTTCCATAGATTTACCAAGAACCTTTGTTCATTTTAGGTATGTAAGGCTATCCTAGTATTGGACTAGTTCGTACTCACGCTCTACATCTCAATTCAGTCAGAAATCGTTGCATCTAAAGGATCCATTTGTAGTTCCTGATACTAAAAATCGGTACTTTAACAGTTAAGGTTTTGATTTTTTGTTTTGTGAATATTATAGTGTTGTTCATGCTTAGTATCACATAAACCCTATTGATTTAGTAAAGTTATGTTTTTCTAAAGAATTGTATGAAAATTCTCATGTATTGATTTTGGGTCTGAGAAACAAGAAGAGATTAGGAAAATTTATCAATTCTAAACTAATTTGGGTCCGTATTTTAACTTGAAAGTTTGTCGGGGACGCTGGGGAGGGGACTGGGGCGGCACGCAAGAAGTTCGCCCAGACCTCGCCCAAGTACTACAGGTCTTGCGGCGGTGCATCAATAGTGCGCCCAGGCCTGACCACCGAAGTTCAAGGTCTGGCACCCTGCGCCAGTAGTGCTCCAAGGGTCGTTGGGCCGATTCTTTTCTTTGTTTTATCCGGTGTGTGCTCCTTTAAGTTGTGTCCACGTTACCCCTTCTCTATATTAGCTCCTATAAGCTTCATTTAACTTTGAAAATCCCTGCATATCCTAATCACTTGTCTTAGTGCACATTCAAAACTAAAGCGAGTTTAAGAGAAAAGTTTAAAAGCATTATTTTGAAAAAAGACTTTAAAAGGAACACAAATGGTTCCAAAAGAACTATTTTCACATTGAGAAAAGAACTAAGATTCATGATTAGTATGACAGTCGAGTATGCCACCAATGTTTAAGTAGTATGACATTATCTAGATATGTCATCAATTTTTATGTAATATGAGTTCCCGAGTCATCAATGACAAAATCACAATAAATGTTTATTTAAAAACTTTTTTTTCTGAGAAAGTAAATTAGAGTTTGAGTAGAGTTTAAAGAGAATTTTTTAAGTAAAGTTTAAGGGAACTAAGTAGTCCCAGATGTATTATTTTGTTACATTAAGAAAAGAGAAACTTTGATTCCTAAACGAGTTTATGAGTTCAGAGATATTTCAGAGGCGTTACCTCTTTTAAGAGGACAATTTGAGCAATTATCTCAAACCAAAGAAAGAGTATGTTTTATACATTTGAGCATGAGTATATACTATTGGGAGTAGTATTTAGCACTGATATGGGGATGAGTTCAGACAACTCAAAATCCTCATAAATAATATCTTGCCAACATGGGTACATGATCATACTTTTTTGATGAATCTTTATTGCTTAATGGATCCACTTAGTTGAGAAGTTCTATACCCCGGCATGATGTAGGACAGTTCTGGCAGCGTGGGCAAGACGATGTATCATCACGTAGCTCATAGTGATGGTTGTTGGTTAGAGAATCTCCAAAATAGAGTTAAAAGTGTATTTTGTATTATATCACTTAATATGTTGAGTTCAAAGATGAGTAAGTATTTTTTTAAAGCTTTAATTCATTTAACTCATTTATTTCCTTACTTTCAATTGAGTATATATATTTATATCTATTGTAGTCCTTTCATTCAGTTATTTGTTATTTAGCTTATTACATACTCATACATTCAATAGATTTCTTGTTGATGTCGTTCAACTTGCATCTTTTAATGATGTAGATACAGGTTCTTAGAATCCTCAACAAGAGTCCATTGAGATCACTTCATCTGCTCATTAGCTTTTGAGTAAGACCTCGTTGCTTCTAGAGGACTCCAGTTTTATGAGTTGTTAGTAGTAGTTCCCTTGAGGAGTCGTGGGTCTTGTCCCGACACTCACGTTTGTATAGTTGAGGCTTCTAGATAGACAGTTTTGGAGAGTCTTTCAGTTTCAGAGGTTTTCTTTAAAGCTTATGTTTAATACTCGGTATATTCAGAGATTTTTGAGATTTAATACACTAATTGATTTAGTATTTCTTTCAATTTGATGTTTATGTATGCTCGAATTAGTCTTACGCTTGTAGTCAGCCAGGATGAAGATTCGCTTGGGGACCAGCAATATTTCTCGAGTGTCGGCGACATCCAAAGTGTAGGCTCGGGTTGTGACATAGTAGTTCTAGGAGGTTCAGATGAAATCAGTACTCATTTTCTAGCTAGTTTTGTTTTGTTTATTAGGTGGCTTGATGAGTATTGTGTTGTTTAGTACTCACTCCTTCAATCTACACTTGTGTAGGTTTCGAGTTTGGTTCCACGTGATTGCTCTTCTTCTTATACTGAGTCTTGTCGAAAGACTTTGAGAGGTAGTTGGCGGGTTCTTTTTTTCCTTTATGTTTATGCTTAGTTCTAATTGAGAAACAAATACTTTGAGATTTGTAATTATCTCTCATTTTTGCTTTTATGATTTAGTGGCGTGTACATATGATTAGATCTAAATTTCGTTCTTACTTCCACATTTACTTTATCGAGGATCGTTTAGACTGACTTGTCTTGGTGGGATAAGACAGGTGTCATCACACCCGATTTTTGAATCGTGATAATATTCTACCTCAACTTATGCAACATATTCTTGAAAGCCTTAATTTCCATAAACACAAAAATACCCCTTCATTTTTTTTGTGAGGCATAATTACATTAAAGGAGTAGAAGTAGCAACAATTTATTTGTACGAAACTAATTAAATGGCTAATACTTGTACTTAAAATATGAGGCACACATTATTTTTCTCTACTCGGTGGGGTTCGTGTAATAAGCTATATAAACCTTGCAAGTATTATCTAATTTAATTAATCAAAGTTGTTTTTGAAATTCATCCAAAAGTTGGGTTATCTTCTCCCTTTCACAATTTTTATCATAGAAAGGAGAGAATTAAAAAAAAATGAATAATCCAACTTTTTCCTATGTTCTTTTATTATTTTTGTTAATCTTTACATGTTTATGTGAAATAATTGCAAAAGCAGAAGAAGCTGATACTAAGGTATATTTTTTGTTAAATTATTGAATTTTATATAAAGGTTTTTTTTAAAAAAAAAAAGTATTGGAAACTTGTGCTTCTTTTATTATTTTTTGGGATTTACTTGTTATTTTTGCATTTTAGACACCATTATGAAAACATAAATTTAAAGAATAATTCTTACCCATTAGTAAATATTTTATAGTAGCCTAATTCCACCGTACATATTTCTTGGTATATCTAGATAACAGGCAGGAGCATAAACTGAAATATTCTGGGTTAGAAAGATAGTTACTAAATCGTAAGCACCGCATAAAATATTGTTCCTAGACCTATAATTAATACTAATAAGAGAAACTATGTTATATCCATTTATGTTTATTCAATATACTCTAGGGATAGAGTTGAACACAGTTTTAATAAAAAAAAGATTTCGTTAAAATTGAAATTTTTCTTAATAGTTAATCATAGATTTTTCTCTACATCGAAACAATAGAACCATCATGATGCTCATTACTAAATTTATTGAAGAAATGAAACATAAACAAGGTATATCTTATTATTGGTATTTATCATTTGATCTCAAATTTTCATACTTCTTACTTTCAACATAACTTTTTCTTCACATTATTATTTTAAGGTAAATAATTTTATATACATATTTTACTATTAAGAAAAGGTAATAAACACACAATTGAGCGCCAACATGCCATTGAGATAAATTATGATTGGCTGTTGATTTTATACCCTTTGATTTACAGCTTTACATCATTTACTTGGGACACAAGCCACATGATGATCATGAACTTATCACTGATTCACATCATGACATATTAGGTCAAGTGATTGGGAGGTAGGTATATATTATGTTATTATAAATGCCTATTAATGATAATTAATACATTAATATGACTATATCATTTTTTATCTACAATGCACAAAAGTATTTTACACAATTAATGTATAAATAGTTACTCATAATGCTTATCACAGAAATTTATTTGTAATTATCTTATGAGCGATCTGATTGTAAAAATATTTTATAGTTTACATAAAACTTAAACTCGTATTTTCTGGTCATGCAGTAAAGAAGAAGGCAAAAAAAATATGGTATATAGCTATAGACATGGCTTCTCTGGATTTGCTGCTAAGCTAACTGATTCTCAAGCTAAACAAATTAGAGGTATATTGTTATTTCTTTTGGTTAAAAAAAAATACTTCCACAAACATGCATTTGTACCTTATAAAACTAGCATATGTATGATCCGGAAAATACTTAAATATACATCGAATTTTGAGAAAAGATTCAACTATGTCGTCAAATTTTGAGAAAGGGGTCATTTATGTTGTTTCTGTTTGAAAAACGGCTCATCCATGTCATTATTTGTTAACTGAAATGATGTGCCTTTTTTCAAAGTACAATAACATATTTGAGTTTTTTCTCTTTAAAAAATGATTTAACTAATGATGTGGCCGAATCATAATTGACCACGTATAAAAATGGTTTCGTAAAATCAAAATTATTTTATGGTTGATAAATAATGACATGGATGAGCTTTTTCTCAAACGAAAATGACATAGATGAGGCAGACTTTTAACTTATGATATAGATAAAAAAAATCTCAAAGGTCGATGACTTATTTGAGTCTTTTTCCTTCTAAAAAAATTTAAAAAATTCTAGAAATTCAATGTGTTATTTATTATAAAGTTGATATATGTGTTTAAATTGTATTTCAGAATTACCTGGTGTGATTGGAGTTATACAAAATCAAATTTACAAGACTCATACAACAAGAAGTTGGGATTTTTTGGGTCTTTCTAAAAGTGATCCCAACAATCTTCTCAACAAAACAAATCAGGGTGATGGAATAATCATTGGCGTTGTGGATACAGGTTTAATTTTTTTTTAACTTTTTACGTAAAATTAAGATTTAAGATGATTAAAATCTGAATACACATCTAAATATTTCAGTCTAAATACTATTTGTACTAATAGTTTGTTTGGTCAAACTTTCAAAATCTACTTATTTTTAAAGTGTTTTATCGTTAGTGTTTGTAACAGTTTGTATTTAACTAATCAATTTGAAAAATACTTTTATCAACAATAGAGAAATAGTATGTGTTTTAGTCAATGTTCAAAAAGTATTTTATGAAAAATATACGTACATTATTTTCTGGCTTTTGAAAAATAACTTCTGCTACTACCAAAAAATACTTATTTTTCCGATAAAATCTTGGACATACACCTCAACTCAATAAAATACTTTTCCGAATGCTTTGATATGATTTATCTTGAGTTGAAGGTCTATCAGAAACAATTCGTCATAAAGTCTACATATCGTACTATCTCTTCTTCGTAGATCCCACTTATCCTAGATAGTTCTTGTTGTTATCAATAAAGTATTTTATATAACGATTGATATGTGTAGAAGTTACACGCTAAAAGACAATTTTTTATAGGTATATGGGGAGACTTAGAAGGTTTTAACGATAAAGAGCTAGGTCCAATTCCGTCTCGATGGAAAGGTAGTTGCAAATCAGAAGCAAATTTCAGTGCCACAAAACATTGTAACAAAAAAATTATTGGAGCTCGTTGGTACATAAAAGGATTGATGGAAGAATATAAACTAAACCAAACAATGGCTGAAAAATCATATAATTTATCACCATTAGATGAAGATGGACATGGTACACATGTTGCCTATACAGCTGCTGGTTCTTATGTTAATAATATTCAATACTATGGTCTTAACATGGGAACATCAAGAGGAGGAGCACCACTTGCAAGATTAGCAATTTATAAGGTATGGTTGGAAAATTAATCTATCTTATTTAATTTTCTAGTACAAATATAGGATCTACAAAAAAGTTACTAGGTTCGTCTGAACCCAGGAACCCCCACCTAGCTCCGCCTCTACACTAGCACTTTTGGGACATTGGTGGTCCTGCCGTCCAAAAACTAAAGCATATATACCCTTTATACTAACGGACATACACGTGTCATAATTTTATCCACCGATCCGATATTTATTAAATATCGGATCGACGAATAAGATTGTGCCACGTGTTCCTATTTTGCCGCTCTTTAGGGTGAAGGGTATATATGGTCTAATTTTTGGATGGCAGGGGCACCAATGTCCCAAAAGTATGACGGAGGGTATCTGCATACCATTTACGTCAGTTCGGGGATATATTTATCCTTTTTTCTTTTAAAAAATAACCGACCAAACCGTACCATTGACACACCTACTTACGATTGAGTCATCAATCAATTTTGTTAGGGGTTCACAAGTTAATATACATATATATTTATTTAATTTTCTTGTACAAATATAGGATCTACAGAAAAGCTACTAGGTTCAGACGTCTGAACTCAGGAACCCCCACCTAGCTTGGCCTCTGCACTAGCTGATATTAGTTTAATTGTTTTGAACAGGTATGTTGGATTAATAAGGTAAATGGAGAAACTTATTTAGGTGGTGCTGATGCCCTTGCTGCTATTGATGATGCTATAAAAGATGGAGTTGACATAATATCAGCATCTATTGGTTTTAATGGTCGTGTATTTAGTGAAGTTGATTTTGAAAGTCTTTTAGGGATAGGATCTTTTCTTGCAGTATCACATGGCATACCTTTTGTTGCTGCTGGTGGAAATACTGGACCTGAACCAAACACTATTGGTAATGTTTCTCCATGGATAATAACTGTTGCTGCTAGCAATGAAGATAGAGATATTGTTACTCCTTTAACACTTGGAAACAACAACACAATACTAGTAAGTCTCTACAACTTTTATTATTATATTGTCTATATGTTATATGTAGGGATGGGTGGGTCCAATCGAATATGAGTTGATAGGAAATGAGTCATGTGGAAGCGGATAAGTATTCGATACGATCAATAATTGATATGGATAAAAATGGATAAATGAACTTGCTTTTTAAAATAAGTACTTCATATTACAAGACAATATAATACTGGTATAAGTCTCTGGAATTTTTATGATTAATTGTTAGTTATATGTTGGGGTGACAAATGAGTTGGTCGAGTCAAATATGAATTGATAGGAAATGAGTCAAGGGAAAGCAGATAAGTATTCGACACGACCTATATTTGATATGAATAAAAATCGGTGAATTAACTTGCTTCTTATTATGTAAAACAAGAAAATACTAGCAAGTCTCTAGAATTTTTTTGAGTAATTGTAAGTTAAACTTAGAGATGGCAAATGGGTAGATCAAGTCGAATATAGGTTGATTGGAAATAAATCAGGTGAAAGCAGATAAGTATTCGACAGGTCCCATATTTGATACGGATAAAAATGGTTAAATCAACTTGCTTCTTGTTATGTAAAGAAATAACTACTTCATATTAGAAGACAATACTAATAAGTCTCTAGAACTTGGATACAACAAGACAAATACAATACTAGTAAGTCTATGGAACTTTTATGATTAATTGTAAATGATAAGGGTAATAAATAAACGGATTGAGTATAATATAGATTGACCGGAAATGAATCAAGTGAAAACGGATAAATATTCAATCTGATCCATATTTGATATCGATAAAGTGAGTAAGCCCACTTAAGACAATAATAGTAAGTCTCTAGAACTTGGAAACAACAAGACAATACTAGTAAGTCTCTAGAACTTTTATAATTAATTGTAAGTTATACGTAGGGTAAGAAATGAGCCATTCGAGTCAAATATGAATTGGCACAAAATGGATAAATATTTGATCTGATCCAATATTTGATATAGATAACAATGGATAAACTCACTTGCTTCTTATTATTATATAAAGAAATAAGTACTTCATATTACAAGACAATACTAGTAAGACTAAAACTTGGAAACAACAAGCTGATAGTACTAGTAAATCTCTAGATTTTATGATTAATTGTAAGTTATAAGGGGTCATCTGGTAGTTGGTTAGAGTTATGCATGTATTGTTAATGTAGGAATTAGTTATGAATGAATTTATGTATTCTTTTATGCATGTATTTGTTATGCATGGATTAGTTATACATGTATTCGTTATTCCATCTTATTCTATCCTGCATAAAATAATACATAGATTCTCTTTAAATTTATACATGTATTAGTTATGCAAGTTTCTAAGCTATCAACTAAATTTTGTATTAATTTTATGGAAAAATCACCCCATATACACATTTAAGAGTCAATATTACAGGTTTTAAATCTACTTTTAAAAAATTCTTGCTTATAACAGTTTAATTACGGGTTATAACATATCACTAATTATTTATAAATTAATTAAATTTTACTTTATTAAATAAGTAATTTTTTGTAATTTAATATTATTATTAAATTATTTAAATAAAGAATACCCCATAATTATCTCTTACACAATTATAGGGATTTTACATTGATTACACTTCCTTGTTTAATGTTATACTCTCATAACCTCCCATTAGTCAATCCCACCACCATTCCCCCACACATATCCAACTATACACACTATTACTCCACTTTCACCTTCTTCTCTCCCATTTTTCTCATCAGCCAACTACACCAACATTCAATCTTTCGTCCAAATTTTTTCCCCAACTAAATTATGTCTAAGAAATCCATTGAAACGCCTCAAAAGAGTCCCAGATTGGGTGAAATTGTTGAAAATCCGGCGAATATTTAAAATCCTTCGATGGATGGTTCATCTAAGTTGAAGGAGCGACAAAGAGAGAAAAAATGAAGAAAAAAAAGGTCACCCCTGCAAATTAAAAGGGGAAGAAGATGAAGGGGAAAATTGTTGAAACCCCTTCTGATTCCGATTTTGATTTTGTTACTGGAATCAAAAAGAAAAAAAAGAAAAAAAAAATGTAGAAGTTGGAGCATCTTCAAAACCATCAACAAGATGAACAACAAAAAGTTATTTTTTTTAACTTTTGGACAATTTTTTTGTGTTTAAGTATTTGATGATATATAATATCATATGTTTTCTTTCAGGCCGATACCGTTTACATATGAATTACTGATGGTCTATTACAATTTTAAGATACTATTTTGAAAATATTAGTGTATTTCCAAACTGTACATTTATTGGATGAAATTTGTATGAAATCTGATTAATATGTGTATGACTATGCTTAAATGTTTTGATTTTGAAAATTTTATGAATTGTGATATAATAATGGTATACAAATGATATGAATTGCGTTTTAACATTGGTGTGATTGTCTATTAACTGTGTTTATGATATAAATTATTAAATTGGTATGAAAATGATATGATTTGTCAAACCACTGATTTTTTCTAAAAAAAAAATCACATTATGCTTACTTTATATTCTAAACATGTTTTTGGATGAAACATGTATGAAATCTGATTAATACGTGTATGCCTATGAGTTTAATATTTTATTGTTGGATATTGTATGAATTGTGATATAATATTGATATACAAATGGTATAAATTGTGTGATTATATGAATTTATCAATTTTTATACATGTTGTTTGGATAAAATGTCTATGAAATTTTGATTAATATGTGTATGACACTAACTAAAGTTAGTGTGGGAATGAAACACTAACTGCAATTTGTTTTAAATTTATTTATAGTAGGACACCAGTTGAAAACCAAATTAATATTCATGTAAACTTACATTAAATTAAATACTCAGGATACCATAATTACCTTTTATAATTATCACTAATATTTACACTATCTTATGTATTAAGCTGGAATAAATTTTATTTTTAACAATATGCAATCTGTATGATTAATAAATGAACAATGTATAAAGAATGAACGGTATATTAAACACTAAGTTTATAATGCACTTCAAATCAATTATGTTTCATATCAAAACAAAACATTAATCTAAACGACAAAATAAAATAAAAATTATATATAGTCTAAACAAATAAACAATCATTGGTTTTGCACATGATAATTTGAATATGCTTCATGTTGTGGCCAACTTGACAACATTTACTGCAAGTAACTTTGGACCTTTTGAATTTCACATCAGCAACTCTCTTTCATATATAATTCACTTCTTTTGAAAATCAACATAATTCTCTGTTTCATTAAAAAAAAAACAATTAGTCTAACATTATACAAATCAATTAAAATTATGTTAAATAATATTAACTTTTCATTTCAAAGACAATACAAATTTCATCCATCAAAATCATTATAATAACAACAAAATTATACACACTCGTCATTATTTTTTTCATACAAATATCATTCAAACAGTACATTACAAAACAAATTTCATACAAAACATAATATTTCACATTTAATATTCACTTAATACACATTTCATACAACAATCATCATTCATACCAAATTTATACATTTTCATACTCATTTAATACACATTTCATACAAAACGATTATTCATTCAAACTATATACATTTCTCGTCCCAAATAATTAATTACTGTCACCCAACTTTTAACAAAAATAACAAAACTAATATAAACTCAACAATTTCACATTTAATACCAATTTAAAACACTTGTAATACACTTCGTCAAGAATTCCAATTTTTTTTTTACATATTTCTTAACACACTTTTCATACATAATTCATTTGACTTATACTATCAAATTCATTATCAAATAAAATAAATTTTCATAAATTCGTCAACTTTATAATTAAATTATTTTTACAGAATAATTAACACACTTTCATACAAATTTCATTTAATTTATTCTATCAAATTTATTCATAAAATCACGCTAAATTTATAATTTCACAAAACAATAACCGTATACAAAATAAACAAATAAACAAATAAACAAATAAACAAAAAAAAAACACTAAATTTTTTACATTTCACAATAGTAAACATAATATGATATCAACAGTTAACAAAATATGACTCCACCTCAATTAATCGACAATTTGATCATTTTTGTTTCATTTCGCTATCATTCTAAAACAAACTTTAAACAATAATAAATACTAACCCAAAGGATCCCATCTTTCACCATGTTTGATTAAAACTGATATGTAGTTGTCCATCACAACAAAATCAAGAATTTTCGAAGATGAAAAAAACTTCAATTACTCGAATGTGGAATTTTTTTTTTGTTGAAAATTGAAGAGAGAAACGTTGAATTTTTTTTGTTGCAAATTGAAGAGAGAGAAACGTTGAAAAAAAGAAGAAGATAAAATCTGAATTTTTATTTGATTTTAACTGATTTGAGTGAATTAAGGATACTAAATAATCTTAATTAGTTTAAATCCCTTAATTCGTGCTATTTATTAATTATATACAAAAGAATGATATGATCTGATTTTTTAATTTATCTTAACTGATTTTGAGTGAATTAAGGATAAAAAATATTGTTAATTTGTTTGAATCCCTTATTTCATGCTAATCATTAATTATCTACAATAAATTCAAATTAAATTACAAGCCACACTTTCAGTTTTTTACTTTATTATCTATAATTCCATTTTTTTTAATTTTCGTTTTTTTTTTAACTTTTTTCGAATTAATAAAAACATTTTTTTTATTTGTGAATTTGTTATAACCTGAAATTTTTAATGTTATAACTTGAAAGTCTAAATCTACTGCTATAGCCTGAAAATAGTACTATAATATATGTCATATATGAAATTTACACTAATTTTATACATGAAAAAATTATTTCCTATCAAACTACCAATTAGCATTGTATAAATTATACGAAAATTAATAATGTATTAGTTCTACGAGTTTCTAATAATTTGCTTGCTTCTTCCATGTACCTATTAGTAATTTAGTATAGACTTTTAAAAGTATTTGACTAAAATTGTAGGCTCAAGAAATTTTTCAAGGGAAGAATCAAGCCTTTGCTCCTTTGTTGGTTGCTAGAGATGTAACAAAGTAAGTGAAATGTATATATATTGCATCATTCAATAAAGATTACAAAACCTCTCTCTCTCTTTTAAAAAAAAATTAATCAACTATGTGACATTGTTAATATTTTTATTTTTTATTTGCAGTAAAGAAGAGCTTAAATCTATTGTTAAAGAGGTGAAAGGAAAAATTGTAATGATTTTCTTAGAAGACAAAAAAGATGTATTGTTTTATTTGACAACTCTAAATAATACTGGGGTCTTGGCTTTAATTTGTGTTACTCCCCCTCTTGAACAAAATACTGACTTCAATCAACTTATTGGTGTTCCTATACCATTTTTTACTGTTGATGTGGAGCAAGGAACTCAAATACTAGATTATTTTCAACAATGCAAATCAAAGTATGTATATATCCCTCTTAACTCTTTTTTTTATATTTCATTTCTTTATGTATTTTCTTATAGTTGGAAGATTTTAACGATATACTCCATCTGTCCGACAATAGTTGTATGTTATTGACTTGACACACATTTTAAGAAATAATAAATAATAGGAATAATATATTTTCTGGGAAATGTATTACATATTGAATTGTGTTTAATACCAAAGGTAAAATAAACACAACAAGGTAAATTATCTCTTGGTTTTTCAAACTGGACAAATATTATTGGACAACTATTTTTAGTATAATGGACAAGTAAAAACAGAACGGAGGGAGTATTTGATTTGACATAAATTAGTTACTTTCTAGTGTTTAATTATCAGAAAAACCTAACTTCCTTCTCTTTTGAGCAGAAGTCATTTTCCCTTACAATTATCTCTTACTTTCATACCCCTATTTAATATTATTCAATACATAAACCTTAGTATAATATGTTATAGTAATTACATTAATTTATTGTTTGCAACAGTAACCAAGATCCTATGATTAAATTGGGTCAAACTAGGGTTGTTGAGGGCAATGAGGTATTCCAAGAGGTGGCTAAGTTCTCATCAAGAGGTCCAAATTCCTTTGCTCCAGACATTTTGAAGGTAAATATATAATTATGCATTATTTTGACATGATGAAATTCCTCAAATAACTTACATCACTAAGAGTCTCAAAATTATTAATGAGTGCAGCATAAATTCACGGGTTCAATTGAATTCATTATTTTTTATATATAGTATACAACTATATGTGAAAATCACCATATGAAAAAATATTCAGTGAATATTACATCCTCTGTTTCAATTCAAGTGTCTTATTTTTCTTTCTAGTTTTTTTTATAAAAGTATGATTCTTTGCAAATTTAGTAGCTCTCTAATTTTAATAATTCACATGACTTGTTTAAAATCGCAAGATTCAAACAACAATTTGCTACATGACCCACCTCTTTAGTTTAAGACATGAAACACTTGGTAGGGTGTATAAGAATAATATTAAATAGAGTATGTTAGTAATGTTTTGTATTAGAGCCTATTTGACATTGTTGCTAAAAATCTGCTTATTTTTAGAAGGACTTTTTAAAAATAATTTTTTAGAGAGATGCTTTTAAAATAAAATAATTTATATTTGGCTAATACATTTGAAAAGTATTTTTAATAAGCAGATTGTGTCTTTTTAATTAAAAAAAAAGAAGAAGATAAAATTGGAGAGTCAACTTATGAAAAGGGCAAGTATTAATTACTTTAGTATAAATATTATTTTATAGAGAAAACATTTTAAATAACTATTATAAATTTTTAAATTAAATTAAAATGTACAAATTCAAATTTTCAAATCAATATTAGTTTCTCTTTTTCTGAATTCAAATTTTCAAATCAATAGTAGTTTCTCTTTTTCTAATCCTGCAAAATAATACGTAAAATAATATATATAATATAAGATAATAATACATAAACGTAAAATTAAAAAATTTGCTATATAAAAATGAAAAATAAATTGAAAAAATCAAACTTATGAGATATGTTAATTAAATAATAAAGGATATATTGACAAATATGTATGTATAGTAGGGATATTTTGGTCTTGAAAAAATTAATTTGTCCCTCTTACTTCTTTTTTTTAAGAAGCGGAAAATTCTAGCTTCTTCCCAACTACCAAAAAACTGCTTCTACTTTCATTTAAAAGTAGCTTAACTAATTTGGCGACCGCCTTAATTTGCAATATAAGTGGTTTTTCTCAAAATATGTGATTTTGGCCTGTCAATTATAGCAATTTCAAACAAGTTCTTAGTTATGCTTGCATTAATTATGCAAAGATTGTTTCTTATGCATTGTTTGTTTGATGTATTAAAAATAGCATGCGTTACACTTTTTTTAATAATTATTTTCAAAGATACTCTCCATAAATATGGTGAAAAAGATGTAAAACAATATTTTGAGGAGCAATGATTTCTTTAAAGATGCTAATACATGCATTAAAACGTTTGCGTTACTAATACATGGAAATCAATGGTATTAGCAATAGTAATACGCACCTCAATACACAATAAAGTGCTTAAAAAGCAAACCAAATAAATTATTACTAATACACAAAACTAATACATACATTATTTTTTTTCTAATACACTCTACCAAACAAAAGATTTAATTACTATTAAACTTCATGCCTCAATTGAATTGAAATGGACTGATATTTTCTCTAATTTTTCCAAATATTATTGTAGCCTGATGTTGCAGCTCCTGGAGTTGGTATACTAGCAGCAGCTCCTCCTAACAAGGGAAACAATGGGTTCCAACTCATGTCAGGAACATCCATGGCAGCTCCTCATGTCTCAGGAATTGTTGCACTTCTTAAAGTGGCACATCCTGATTGGTCTCCTGCAGCTATTAAATCTGCACTTGTGACTACAGGTAATATTTTCTCAATTTATATTATATATTTTTTTGTCAGTGGGCGTAGTCAGAAATTTCATGAAAAGTGTCCAAATTTTGAATAGTAGATTCCAAAAAAAAAAAGAGTAACTCTATAAATTCAATCTTGCATGCCCTGCATACTTCTACCCCCAATTGTCACCGTGCTACTGCTCACTTCAAATCAAAATTGTGTGTTTCTTAATATCTTATGGACACAAGGAATCGAACCTGGGCACTGTATAAGTTTCATGCATACCATTATCATTGCACTATATATCTCCAGTTGTTGATTCTAAGAGTGTTCAAAATACTATATTATACCAATATGTATTCAATGAAGGGTTAAGTACCAACAACACGGTACCCAACAAGAAATCTAATAAACAAGACATCTAGCTAGAAATCTAATACCCCTTACAGTTCAACCGAACCTCCTCAAACTACAACCTACTCAGAAATCAGCCCAACCTAACAATACTACAATATACGACTCACAAGGCCCAATATCCGCAGTTCAATAGTCAAAAATCAGCAAACAAATCAAGTAAGTCAATCTCAATGTCAAGTAGATCAGTCACACGCAACAAAAACATCAATCACAATTAACAAGCAGCAAGTCACAAATAAGCATCAAATGCATCAAGTCACAATAATCAATCCCTCGCCAGAACCATTTTTCAACAACTTTATATCAAATCACTAGTCGGAACCATTTTCTATCGGCTTTATATCAATTCACTATCTGGAACCATTTCTCATCGGTTTTATATCACTAGCTGGAACAATTTTCCATCGATTTTATTGCACTAGCCGGAACTATTTTTCGTCGGCTTTATAACACTCACTGACAATGACCTCAGCATCATAAACACTTGTCGAAAAAGATCTCGACATCATCACCATCATAAGTCTCATTACGGTGTCCAACAGTCAATGCACACAAGCAATATCACACCACATGGAAAAGACAACAATTCATGCGATTCAAGTCCACATTCATGTTATCAAGCATTTCATTAATCAATCAATAAGAATCACAATAAGGCAATACACATGATCATGTTCATCACATAGCCTTTTTATTTCAACCCATTTTTATTCATTAAGATTTATCAAGTGGACAATTAACTCATCTCGTCCCCATTACTCCGAACACACAAACAACAAAGGGAATACACGGATTCTACTAGAATTCAAGGTTTAGGAGATCACTTGCCTTAAATCAATCAATAATCACTCCAAGAGTTGAACTTTACCCTTCCGAATCACTTCCAAATCCACACAATCTATATTAATCAAGTATTCATAATCACATTCTTGAAATAACATACATACATCAATTTCTTTGAAAAATGAGTCAATCAACTCAAAACTCAATTTCGAAAATGAGGTTTGAATCCAAAATTTAATACTTGAAAATGTTATTCAAGGCATTAGGAACTCATTGGTGAAAATCATTTCGAAAAAGGACTTAAAATCAATTCACAATCTCCAATTTAGTTAAGAACTCGAGTTCTTGAAAAACCTTGTCATTTACCAATCAAAATCCCAAATTTTGATGTTAGAATTCATAAATAATCAAAGGGAAATGAAGTTTGAAAGTTATGAATCATTACCCAACTGATTTGGCACAAGATATCCTTTCAAAAACACCACCAAAGGTTTCCCAAACTCAAAAATAGAAGAATGAGGCTTAAACTCCAAAAATGACAGGTTAAACCCCTCTCAGATGTCATAAAACAACTAGGGGTTCGCTTAAGCGACATGACCTCCACAAAAGTGAGGCATGCAGCACCAGAAAACATTGTCAAGACCAAAACATCAAATCAACCATCGAAATTCATTTAGAATCATGTGCACACAAACAACATGCAAAATAATTATACTCGACGTTCTGCACTTAATGGAACCATCAAAATAAGAATCTGAGGTCTTCTTGATACAACATTCGTGAAAACCACAAGAAAACTAACTCAATGCCTAAAAAGGTTAAAAAAAAGATCGGGACCTCTCAAAAATCAACCCAAGACCTCACCTAGGCCTAAAACCATCCCTTGAATCCAACGGAAGTACTCTCGAAATTCCGCTCCGAGCATCCGACCCCTGTCCAAGGTCAACCCAAAGACTAAATTTCCATAATTTCACAACTTAGGACCTCAAATCCTTAGACCGACAATTCTCACTTATCAAATTTCACAATTTAGGACTGATGGAATCGACGGAATTTCATTTCGACCCTCGAAACTCCAAAAGACGTCGAAAACCACTTTAGCCTTTCAAACTCAAAACTTACAAAATTCTCAACTTTGAACACAAAGTTTGAAACTAACTTCCGAAATTCAAACATAAAAGACTCAAGGTCAATATTGGGAGGGGCAAAATGGTTCATTCAAGAAATTTTCCAAAAATGACCGACTGGGTCATTACAAGCTCCTTAGCTCTCTGGTCCTACCTTTTTTCCATTTTATGAGGCAGCATTTGACTTGGCATGGTATTTAAGAAAAAAGAAAGAATTTTGAAACTTGTGATCTAAAACAATCATTAAATATATATTTGTGTCGTTGTAAAACATTATATTAAGAGTAAAAGGGGGTTTAAAAATTATATTATTTCTAAATATAGAGTATGGTGACATTTTTTTCAACGAACTAAAAAGAAAAAAGTATCACATAAAATAATACAGATGAACTGTATATTGACACTACTTAAAAGTGTTACAACATTCATGCAATTTACCATTGTTTTAGGTCAATTTTACATAATGGTGCTAAAATACTTATAAAATATTTGTGTGTATAACTTACACTACTTATACCCTCCCAAATTTCATTGAGAAAATAGTTTTAACTTATATAGGTTATTTTTACAATATTAATAGGTTGTCTACTTTATTTTCTCTGTTAATAAATTAAGCTTCTTGTAGATAAATACCCATTGTTATTGATCACTTTAATCTCATCATTCAAATAGGTTTTGCACTATTGTGTGTAATTTATGATTACCCAATATTTATCAATTTAAATTGTGTAGCATGGAACGAGGATACATATACATCTGAAATCTATTCAGAAGGAACAAACAATCTTGCTAATCCATTTGATTTTGGAGGTGGCATTAGTAATCCAAATGGAGCAATGGATCCTGGCTTAATATATGATATGGATAAAAATGATTATTTGAATTATGTTTGCACCTTGGGTTATAAAAATGATATGGTTCAAAATGCAACTTCGTATTTTTTCGATACGAAAAATTCGACTATATGTCCTAATGAAGTACCTTCTAGGTTGGATTTGAATCTTCCTTCAATATCGATTCCAAATCTTAAGAATTCGATTATTGTTAGAAGAACTATTACAAATGTTGGAGATGTCAACTCGATATATAAGTTGGTGGTTAAACCTCCAAAAAATACCGCGATTAAAGTCAATCCAAATGTGTTGAAGTTCAATTCCAACACAAAGAAGATTTCCTTTGAGGTTGAAATTATATCAACTTACCAAAGAAAGAGTAATTTTAATTTTGGAAGTTTGGCATGGAGTGATGGCAAGCATTTTGTTAGAATTCCTATTGCTATGAGAAAATAAATAGATGTAAAAAATTCCATTTTGATGTTTTTTTCTTACTTCAATATTTATTTAATATGTTTTTTTTTGTTTGTTTGAGTTTATGATTTAACATATATTGTTCATGTTGCCTTTTCAAGAAGATTTAATACTTCGGACATCATTCATGCGGATATAAAATTTGAAACTATTTCATATATTTGTAAGGTTCTAATTTTATTTAATATAAAGTCATGTTTAAATATAAAACTATTTAAAGACATTGAATATTTCCTAAACTATTAATGCAATTACTGGTTCTAGTTAAGAATAAGAGCCAAAATCAAATTTATTTGTAATTAAAAAAAAATCATATACAGATCAAAATGATTACAACAAAAGCGATATTTAGTAGTAATAACAGATTTTCTGTTTAGCATTGTTGCAAAATTATTTAGCGGTAATTGAGTTAATGTTATTGCATTCAAAGTCGTTTAAGTCTTTAACGGCATTTACATAAACTAGTATTGATTATAAATACTCATATATGTTATTGTTGCTAAAAATAATATAACAACAGTTATATTATTACCGATAAATAATTACCACAACAATTTGGAACCCTATAGAAAAAGAATGATCCCAGCATGTGCCTCCTTCCTCCCACTCACCCCTAAAAATAAAAATAAAAATAACCCAAGGTTGGGTTATAACAAACAATTATCAGGCAAAATGACTCCACCTGTATTTCCTCTAATATTCTTGCAAATAGATTGATCTTTTTTGTTATTCAAATAAGTAAGTTTTATGTCTTGTAATTTGACTCCACTACATGGATTGCTTGGACTGCATTCAAAATTCATTGCTACTTGTGTTGTTGATGTTCCAAATATATTTTGGTATGTCACTGATTGATCTTTATGCCAGAAGCCTGTCAATTCATGAGCAATTCAATACCAATTAGAATCATAACTTAACTAATTATTTTATTGTTTAACTATAATATTTAATTATTTATTACTGATTTCGATTTTTTTAGATGTCAGGATAGAATAGAAGGTTAGTAGGTCCGGTAAAATATGCTTGTTGGTAGTTTGATGCACCATACGTGTGTCTCCTTTGATATCAGTATTCAGTAATAATAGCATTTGTAACGACCTGTTCCAGTCGTTATGGAAAAGCCAATGGGGAAGGAACTTGAGCCAGAAAACTTCTGAGTAGTAACTTGGAAATTTCTAGCCTAGGCCAGACTTGGACGAAATCTGAGTCAAGTGGGGTCTAGGAAAATCTGGTAATGAATGGAGGATCCAATTGTGAATTTGATGTTAAGGATTATGTACGGCTTTACATAATCAAATTCGGGCGAGTAGAACTCCCGAAACTGATCTTGGTGTGAAAGGGTAGTTTTAGAACATCCCGATTTGAAGGTGTGTTGTGAAATGGGAGCTTGGAACTCAAATTCCGAGCTTCTGAAGCGTTGCAGATCCTAGCAGAGTATCATGAATGAAGGCCTAAGTGATGATCATCAGTGTCGGAACAGTGCCAAAAAAGGAATAGATAGGTGGTTCAGCATAGTTTTAAGTAGAAAAAAAGAGTTTGTTAATTATATACCATATTTTGGTGGTTGAGTGACGAAGGAAAAAAGAGATAGCATCCCGACTGGCTAGCGATGAGGGGAAAAGAATAGTTTTTGTCTCTGTGCAAGCCGATGGGGCAAGATTAATGCCGCCAGGGCGGGGCCGCTGTGGCGAGATAGGGTCCGTCGTGGCGGGCCAGTCACGAATTAAGATGGAGAAAAACCTCAATTTTGTTATTTTCTGCAAAACTTCGTTCTTAAGAGCTAACGAACGACCCAGGTGATTCTTGACAGTTTTCCACGATTTCTAGTGCTAAAGGTAAGGAAATTACTCCCCTAATCCATATTTCAATTCCTAGAACTTAGAATTTTTTATAATTATCGTTGGGGGAGGGTTTTGACCTGAATTTAATGGTGAAAAAAGCCCTAGTTGAGTATTAGGATCTTGGGTTTGGCCTTGGATTGATAGTTTGATCATTATCCGGGTAAATTAGGCCTTGTTTGTTGATCCTTGCATTAATTACTTGTTTATAGACCAAGAACAAGTTGAAAGACTTCGGAAAGGGAAGGCTCAAGTGTCTAAGGAGTATTCAAGCTTGGTTTCGAGGTAGACAATGGTTTGATTTCCTGTTGTATGATATATGCCAGTTAATTGCTTCATTGTATGCGTGCATGTATGTGAATAGAGAAATCTGAATCAAATATAATTAAATGATTATGTGTGAACAAGACATGCCATGAACCTGTTACTTGATTGTATGACTATGAATATTGTTCATTATGGGTGTGATTGTGATTGTTGCTGTGCTGACTGGATCGGGTGTCACGTTCCAACAGATATATTTGATCAGGTGTCACATTCTGACACATATATTGGACCGGGTGTTACGTCCCGACACATGTATACTGGATCGGGTGTTATGTTCCGACATACTAACAATTTGGGTGTGGGTTCCATAAGAGGATCACTTTTGATTATTACGTTCATGTTTTATTGTTATTGATATTCGGTAATTGTATGTTGCTCCTAAATGATAACTGAACTGTGTATTATGTATATGTGTGCTTACTATGTTGTAATTGCTAGTATATATTGTGCTTACAGGAGTAGTCGCGTGATCCTACCAGTACATCATGGTTTCGTGTACTGATAATGCACTTGCTCTTTCTGTGTTGACTACAGGGAATTTTTCAGGCGGCTATTGACACACCTCAGTTAGGAGATTATTGACCACGACTGGATTCAAGAGTGAGCCGGTTCTTTCAGGCTGCCATGGATCCTTCACTTTTTTAGTTCTTTTTTTTCGGACTTAGACTACATATTTAGACTTTTACTTATGTTTAGTTTTTGGAGTGGCACCCATCTTTCTTAGACTTGTTGATTGGTAGAATTCTAGGGGTTGAATTTTTGCAATATTTGTTTTGTTAAACCCTTAGAGTTTATGGGAACTCCATATTTTATTTAGTCATTTAAACTTATTTCTGTATCTTTAAATGCTTAGTTTTCTGTTCATTGCTTAGTTGGGTTGTAGTAATGATTCTGCCATCGGAGGGTTTGTGTGGGTGCCAATCGCGACGGTTTGGGTCGTGACAAAGTTGGTATCAGATCCCTAGGTTCGATGATCTCCTTGTACCGAAATGATTCTAGTAGAGTCTTACGGAACGGTACGGAGACGTCTGTATTTTTCTTCAAGAGGCTACCGGACTTTAGGAAATCTCTCTGTTTTCTTCTCCTTTCGTGCTATGACTTGATTCCAATTGGTATTTGGCGATCCAAATTGGTATCTAATCTCCTTCACTCTTCTGTCTGCATATGGTTAACACATAATACAATAGCGTCAGGCCCGTAGCTCCCACCAATGATTCAATAGAGGAGTCTGCAGCCAGAGGCTATGGTCAAGGCAAGGGTAGGGGAAGATGAATGGGGAGAGGCCGAGGAAGAATGGCACCCGCCAGGAGTGGAGTCCCAGCTGAGAATGTTCCTAGGGAAGAGGACCCTCTTGCACCCCAAGAAGAGTTAAAAGAGAATGTGGAAATCGAAGACGAGGAGGATATTAGACCAAAAGAGGATGCACAAGTTGGGAATACCGGCATTCCTCCCTTAGACCCAATGTTAGCTCAGCAGATCATGGACTTTTTGAAGGGGTCGGCCCCAGAGTCCTTCCCACAGTGCAAGCGGCTTAACCACCCAGTGTTAGCTCAGCAGATCATAACCATTTTGAAGGGGTTGGTCAGCCCCGGAGTCCTTCCCACAGTGCAATCGGCTCAACCACCGGCCAACCTCCCCATTGCTGCTATTGTTCCCAAGATGGATGGAGCACCAGGCACTGATGCCATCTTCCGTCCCCTATTGGGTCCTGTGATGACTGGTACTGAGCATGAGATGTTGACTAAGTTTCTGAAATTGAAGTCGCATGTGTTCCATGGTTCTGAGAGTAAGGATGTCTATGAGTTCATTTTGGATTGCTATGAGAGGCTTCACAAGTTGGGAATTATACATCAGCATGGAGTAGAGTTCGTGACCTTTCAGCTTCAAGGTGAGGCTAAGTAGTAGTGGAGGGCCTATGTGGAATGCAGATCGCTAATCTTTCCCCAACTCACTTGGACGCAGTTCCATGCTCTGTTCTTGGAAGTATATACCCCGGACATTCAGGGATCGTAAGAAGGATGAGTTTATGGCTTTGGAGCAGGGTGGTATGACTGTAGTTGCCTATGAGGCGAAGTTCCATGCCTTGTCCAGATAAGCTACCAGTTGGTAACTTCAGAGGAGGAGAGGATTCATCTATTCGTCAAAGGATTGAATCCCAAGTTACAAGTATTGTCTGTTCACATGACCTCTGCAGGTAAAAGTTTTAATGAGGTGATAGACTTCATGAAAAAAGTGGAAGCAGTTCGACGTGATGGGCAGGCCAAGGCTTTGGCTAAGAAGCCCAATAGCGCATGTAACTTTCATGGTTCTTACTCCAGAAGTTCAGGTAGGCCGACACTTGCGGCCCGGCCAATTCATTTAGCCATTCCCGCTTCTACAATTGGTTACTCGGGAATTCCACAGCAGAATTCCATTTGGGATAGTCAGGGATCCGGACCTGCATCGGGCAACAGGTTGTCTTTTTCCCGCAGTTGTTACAAGTGGAGAACCTGGGCACATGAGAAGAAATTGTCCCCATCCACATATGTCTGACCCCGTGTAGCATCAGACCAAAGCAGATATGTCTGACCCCATGCAGCAGCAGACCAAAGCAGTGGTACCAGTGGACAGCGGTAGTAATGGTAGAGGACGTCCACAAGGTGGGAGAGGAGGAAATCAGCGAGGTCGTTGAGGCCGGGGAAATGGTAATGCAGGTAAAGGAGCAATGCAGCCAGGCAAGGAGGTTACCTGTCCTAATGATAGGTCTCAGTGTTATGCCTTTACAGGCAAGACCGAGGCTGAGGTGTCTGATGCAGCGATCACACGTACTATTCTTAT